TTTTTTCACATTGTTTTCCTTTTCCACTCACTTACACTTATACAATTAAATTTTTATTTTTCTTTCGTATTAAAATTATTAAATTGAATAGAGTTCGCATTTCATAAACGGTGGATGGTTCAATTCACTTAGCATGAATTTATTATTCAAAAATAACTTCACAATTTTCCTACTAGCACACTCATGCGAAATTTGAAGCACAAAAGAAATTTTTTATTGAAAAATTTTATATTAATTTTTTAATTAGGATGTATTATTAATATTTTACAGCAATTAGTTATAGTTGGTTTTTTATTTATTTATAAAATGTATGCACAAATAGCACTTAACAAGTAGTTACAACGTACATACATCAATGTTATGTTGTATTATTAAATAAAATTTTATTTTTAATTAAATTACATATACAAAACGTACTATTTTGAACAAAAGATTTGCTGTTGTTTGTTTTGAAATTAAGTCATAATTATAGAAGAAGCTAATATTTTTGTTTATTAAAACAAAAAATTCAAATTTTTTGTTGATTTTAAATAAAAAATCGCGACAAGTAGCACAACAATTTCTATAATTAATTGTAAAAAGTTAAGAAAAATATATTGCATAGTACTTTAAAATACATAATGTGTAAATGTGTTAAATTATTTTTTAAATAGAAAATATACATTCACATTTATGTACATACATACATAAAAACATATTTTAATTAAAAATTATTTAGAGCAAAATTGTAAGTTAATATACATTAAAAAATATGTTTGTTAGATCCATCGTAGTTAATTATAAAAAAAAAAAATTTAAAACTAAGAACAAAGCGACGGCAATTTTCTTTTTTAACTTAAATGTAATATGCGCATGTATGTTTGTGTGTTGGCATAACTAATTGCCTGTGAGCATGTTTGTATGTAGTAGTAGCAGCGACGCTATTTTTTTTGTTTAATGTTATAAACAACTTATAAATAAAAAAACTTATATTTAAAAATAATTATTTTTTTTATATTTCAAAATTTGCGGCGTTTGCTGTTGGTCTCTATTGGCGTGGATATGTACTCACTAACATATGTACGTGTTTTCTTATGTACGTTTAACTCAAAAGCTAATTTAATTTATTTTACTTATTTACAAATTACATACATACATAATTTTTTAATTTATATTTGTAATCTTTTTATTTTAAATATTTTTTTTTTTAAATCATAATTTTGTTTTGCCTTATTGCATTGCGTTAGTGGCATTTGTTTGTATTGCCTTCGTGTTTAGATAAAAAAAAAATTTATCAAATAAATCAAGAAATTCAACGCAAAAATTAAAAAAAAAAACAATGTTTGCTTGCATTTCTTTGAGATCATATAAATGTACATGTGTTTGTGTGTGTGTGTGTATGTGTATGTAGCTGTGTGTCATTCTCTTGCATATACAACAACAATAATGTACTCTTCGGACAGCATGACGAGCAGGACTTCTATTTACGCCTGATCCTATGAAAGCCATTCATTTCAGACTGCTCTCGAATTGCATCAGGGCGGGGAGACGAACAGGACGCCTAAATGTATGTTTGTATGTCTGAAGCTCGTAGCAGAATTTCTGTAGTAGAATCGAGAGCTTCAGCGAAACAGCATGGCTAAGGAAGGTGCTGTCCAAGGGCTATCTTAATCTAGGACTCATCTAAAGGAACGACGCTGAATGTACTCACCACTTTCACCACAGACACGGATGCAGAAGATACAGCGAACACTAATGCATCCAATACAGAAAGGAAAGGCATTGTGGAAAATCTAATGACGCTAATGAAGTAGGCACTAAATTGTTTCAAACAGTACAAGTCGCCGGGTGTAGATCTTTCCTGCTTTGTAGCATAAGGCGGGCCAAAAGTGCAGGAGTTGGCTGTGGGTTATGCAGTCGAGGGCCGTTTTCAAGCGCTTCAGTCCATTAGCCTAATATTTTTTCTTCAAGCGAACCTTGAAGCAGCATGTTATGCCCAGTAGCTTAAGTGTTTCAGCGCACTAGACTGCTATAGTCGTTGGTGCACAACAATATGATGGGGAAGGTAAAGAAAACGTCACCTCGGTGGAGTGCAAGCAAGAAGTTGGTGGCTGCACTTGCAGCTTATTGCCTACTCTCTCTCTCTCCCTCTCTATCGTTTTGAATCTTCATGACAATGGAGCACTGGATTGCTGGACAGCAATGAAGAAGCAAATATTTCCGCCAAGCTAAGGAACTGTTTGGCATATACCCGTATTGCGAGAATGCGTTACATTAAGCAGAAGACCAAGTATGGTAATTTTGGTAAACGGAAATTTAAGTACATTAAACATTTTTTTGTTAGTACGAAGTCCCCTCCATCTTCATTTGTTGTGAAGAGTATAAAGGGAGCTCGTTTTTCATTATAATTTAGACACTATTTCGTGAAGATTCAATATCGGGTCTTACCACACAAGATTTGGTATAAGGGAAGTCGCAAAAAAGGCACTGCATTGAAAACTCATCTAAAGAGGCTTCATAAACTCCTTAATATAGTTGGGAGTGGATCTCTGAAATCTCGGTTATTTCATGGGATACTGCCCTCTTTATGTGAAGCTTTTAGACACTAATGACAGTCGCTTCGGCAAGCTGGGCGAAGAAACTCTGTGTATATGGAATGGTTTATCTTTTTACTTTCTCTTGAGAGACTTCGCTCTTCGCATACAGAGCCCTTCGCTTTAGCTAAGCAGTTAGTGTCTGTAGTGGTATTACAAAGGACTGATGCTTTTGGTCAAAGTGTTGCCTTGCTTGGTGCAACCACCTTTACCCAGCTAATCTAGTTCGCCTCCCTCATTCTGTTTTTCCCTGCAGGTCAGTATTTCCATTCGTAAGAGAAAGAGTCCGCCAAATAAAGGTTTCGGGCTAAATTTTGCAGAATATTTGCTAATAAATAGGTCCACTCTGGTGCAAGATCTTGTACATGACTAACTGCTTTGGACTAAGTATTCCTTGGCACGTAATCAGCGATAGTAGTCGCTCCTCCGATCATCGGAGTAACTTTAAGAAACCTGGGCTAATCTTTCTATCAAACTGAAAATGTCTAATTGGTCAGATTGGTCTGCAGACAACTTGTGGGATTGCTGAATGGCTCTTCTTACAGTACTGCATTCTTATCCAAGCTCCGCGCACACCCTCATATCATACAAACATAAATAGTGCGTCCTTTCCCGCGGCCACGCTGCCTGCAAAGGATTTTCGTAAGCGATGCAATTTTCATACTCACAAAAACAAAAACGACCGCAACTAATTAATTCCGCTTGCAACCATCAGTGCCAACAACACTGCTACCCTCCACCGCACCGACGCTTTCCACCGCCGCGGCAGCCATGGCTGCTGCCACATTAACATGTCGCAGCATCAGATCGCTGTCGGCTGCCTTGCCGATGCTACTCAAATTCAACACTGCAGCATTATCGACCGACGTCGTTGTCGCATACTCGTGCGCGGAAAGTTTCAGAAACTGTTCGTAAGCCGAGAGACGTGCGGTGGGCGGCTCATCACCGCTAATTGCTTCCATGCTGGTAGCAGCACAGGAGCCCGCATGGAATACTTTGCTAGTCATGATGGCGGCGTTGCTGCTGCTGCTGCTGCTGTGGTATGGCGGTGGTGGTGGACGCTCGCTCAACAAACTGGGATGAGTAATGGCGCCAGGGCCTACACCAAGGCTTCCACGGCTGATGGAAACTGCATCTGCTGCTGCGCTTGTGCCTGACGTGTTGATGTTGCTTAAGCTGCCAAGCCTTTGCAAGTGTTGTGATTGTTGTTGTTGTTGCTGCTGCTGGTGCAGTTGATGCTGTTGTTGCGCATGCGCATGCGTATGCACCTGCTGCTGGTGTGCCAAATCTAGCGTTGATAATGTCGAGTGCGGGTGCGTAACCATTGCGGAAGCGGACGCGTTCGCACCGCCGTACATTAGCTCGTCTGATTGTCGATGGTGATGCTGTTGTTGGTGCTGCTGTAAGGCAACTGTGGTTGCCTCAGCAGCGCCGGTGCTCATCGGACTTGGTGACGTCGGCGACTGTTTGATGTGGGTTATGGTGGGCGTGACTACAGAAGTGGCGCCACCCAATTCGCTACTACCACCGAGTCCCGAGCCGCCAACACCGCCACTGCTGCTCACATTCTGGCAATCACTGAGATTGCTTAAATAACGTGCATTGGTGTTGTTGCTGCTACTGCCGCTATTGTTGTTGGCTGCGTTGCCAACACCGCTGGTGCTATCGGCATTATCATGTGTGTCTTTTGTTGTTGCTGCTGTCGTCGTGGTGAGCGCCAAGCCGCGTGCACTCGCGCCGGTTACCGTGCCCTCGTCCATTGCCGTCGCCGCCAGGGAGCTACTGCCATGGCGGTCACTATCACCACACTTGCTAACGCCTCCTACGCTTCCTCCTACACTGCCACTGCCACCGAGGCCGCCGCCGCCGCCGCCGCTGCTTCTACTGTTGAATTCATTGTGTGTGGATAGATTGGGCAGTTGCAGTTCATGCTATTCCTTTATCAACCGATAAATGTGGTGCGTAGCGCCGCTATTCTGTGCCGCCACCTCGAACACGTACGCTATGCAGAGAAGGGTCTCTTGTGTGTCTCGCGCTTGCATCACCTTAACGAAGAGTAAGCAGGAAGATAACGAGGTGAGTATTACATGTCTAGACATATCACAGTACGTAGTAAATAGTGTATCACGACACACTTATGTATGTATATACCTGCAGTATTGTGAAGTTCTCCAGGACACTGTTCATCATATATCGCTCAGGCAGGTTCTTCAATTTCTGTATGAAATTTATCATATATTCGCACATCGGCGACCGATGTATGCGATATACGAAGCGACCATTCTCCAAGCGTGAGTATTCTGTTTCCACTTTCTCGACGACCTGTTTGCCAAACGAGCAGACTTTTGTCGAACACACGAGCACAACATTTTCGTTACTCTCATATCTAAAAAGAAAATATTTGTTGGAACACAGGGTTTTAAGGATTTAAAACTACGAAAAACCATTTGGTTGCGATACATACTGACTCGTAACGCCATAGAAATCTCCCGTTTCGCTGCCGGTTATTTCGGTATTCAAGTCTGCCCAACATTTAACTAGATAGAAGGCATTTTGTGGACCTTTTTCATAGAGATCTTTAAGACCGCCTGATTTCTCAGGGAACTTGTCGGAGATCTGTCGGATGTCAACAGTCTGTAGGGAGAAAATAAGAGTAGAAAAATTACAAAATTAATAATTTTTTAGTGTTAAAAAAGTAATAATTTCGACAATTTCCGCAATTTTCAATACAACGGATTTAAAGCGATTTGAAGGCGGCAAGATGAGATTAAAAGAGAGAAGGCTCGCTCTGAGCAAAACTGGACTAAACATGTCAAGTCTCAGTCCGACCAGAGTTGATTTATAGTACTAAATATCGATTCGGTTAGAGTTCTTTACTGATCCACATATAACCAAGAGTGCCACCTTGAAGATACATATCGATACCTTAGCCTTTTGTATGTATAGCTCTATTCAGGTGTAAGTTCTATGAGAGTTCACCGTCAAGAATAACCTCCAGTTGAAGGAGGCTAACTAAGATTAGCAAAATGCCTCAAAATCGGAGAGAGTAATTATGACCGCAGCCCAATCAGGTATACTCTATGTCACCAAATAACCTCTTGGACTTTATAAGGGAGTTAAAACTGAGCGAAGATCTCCTGTTTGTACTCCATACCTCCACTGATATCTATATACCATGGATGACCCGGCCCCATTGTTCAAGCTTCCTTGGATCTTCTTGATGCGTATCTGCATCCTTCGACCTTCCAAAATAAATAAATGAAAAGGGGATCCTAAGATTGATGTTCTTGTTGACTTAGTCACGATTAGTTATAGAGGAATTCTTACGCTTCGTAAAGTGTCTGAACGACCCAATGCATTTAGGTGTTGAGAGAACTTAATGCAGCGTATTCCCATTGCCGGAGCGTTACTCAGCATGAATGCGAAAGTCCTGGAAATCTTATTTAAATTTCGGTTGTGGATCTCTTTGGACAATTTCCTTAAATTCAGTAGTTTGTCTAACCAAGTTTTACGGACTCACAGTTTTGTCGACGTACGTTGGGTAAATCTTCGATTATGAAACAATTCATTAGGATAAAAAGGACACACCGAACCTTACCCTACCCACTAACTACTCCAACGAGCGCCTTTAAAACTCACCTCAGCCTCCTCTAATTCGATACTTATAACTAGTAAACTAAAGGTAGGCCAAATTGTAGTCAGAAAAAATTGAGTGACATCTGTCAAAATACTCTTTAGCGTCTAGACTACTCGGTTCCTACTCTAGCACCTACACCCTCGAGAACGGCTGGCTTCCCACTTAATTGGATGTAGGCAGCCATTTTAATCTGACCCAATTTAAGTAGTAATTAGTACTCACCTCGAGTAGCGGATCGGAAAAGGACGGTTTGCCACCGAGTTGTACGAACAAGTGCCGGTGATACTGAAAATTAAATTCGAGATTAGTCGAAACACATTTCAAACAAACTGTATATTTCGTTAAAAAAAAAACCGAAACACTTACGATATCCTCTCTTTGTATTTCCATGAATGCCGAGAATTCCAGCAAACGGAATTTGTGCGTCGCTATCGCTCTACCCTCCCACGGCAGTTGTGCTGGCGGAAGTCCTGCTTCGATGTCACCAGACACGGCTGTCGATGGCTTGCCGGCGGGGTAGGGGGGTTGTGCGAATGGCTTAATGCTGTAATCGTAAAAACTACGGTCAATGCAAACAATTTCAATGTGTCAACTTGTTAAATATTTCGAGATAACTTACTCTTGTGAGGTGCTGGGCTGTAGACCTGGCTGCCAGAATTGCTGTGCGGTGGATGATGGGTGGGGAGAAGAAGAATGGAAGGAAAAGAGAAATATTTATTTATAAGCGATTATATAACTTCAAGATAGACAACAACAACAACATTAATTCAGTTACAGTTACACATATGTATGTATACATATATGCATAATAAAATAAAGTTGAAATGAAAATACATACATACATACATCAATAAGTATGTAATTATGAACGAAATGTGCTAGCGAAAAGCAAGGTTTATATGAAGAGCCAATAATTTTTTTAGGGTTATGCGAGTTTGATGATGAGAGCTTTTAGCTTTGTTTGGTCTTAGCATTTAGAAGAGTAAGTTTATTATACACATACTAGTAACACAAAGTTGATACTTCTCCGCTGATTATATAATAATAAGGTTCTTATTTATTTACATGTCCGTATTTATGTACAGTGACTCAAACGAGTGTTCACATGTTAATTTTTTTTTTTTAAATATTCAAATGTTTTTCAAGCAAAAATAATTTTGTATTTTTTTTTTATAAAAATTTTGTTCATGCTTTAACAAAAAACTATTTTAATCAAAGTTTCTAGCGCTATACAAAATTCAGAAAAATTTAACAATTTCATAAAAATTTCGAGTTTTAAATTTTAATCTTTAGAAAATTTTTGGGCTTGCTGACGACTTTTGCGGTTTTTGTATAATACAAGCAATTTATAAAAACCGGCGTGATTTTTGAATGGAACGGTATTGTGCATTTTATTCCATAGAAACACACGTTTGCATGGAAAAAGTGCAAAAATCCGTCAGCAAAAATTAAAAAATTAATGAATTTTTTAGCGGCTAGAAACTCGCACGTTATTCTACTAAAATTTTATGGCCGTACCCAAAATTATTTTAAAATTTCAGAATTAAAATTTTCGAATTTTTTAATGAAAATTTGTAAAATTTTTCAATATTTTGTATAAAGTTTGAAACTTTGATTCATGTTTACTGGTTTGTCCAAAGCATGAAGAATATTTTTATAAAAAAAAAGAAAACAAAAAAAAACTTTGACTTGAAAAACATTAAGACAATTAAAAAAGAACACTGCTTTGAGTCACTGTATATGACGATTAACGAAGCCTTAACCCATATGAAATTTTTAACCCCAATTCAAGTTTTTATTATTGTTTACTGCTACGCTTTTCCGCTGCCCCTTCAATGCTGATGAGATGAAGCGAGCAATGTGTGTGTTGCGTTAGCGATGGACCACAACTATGGCGTAAGTATCGAAATGTTCGTGAAATATGGACCTTAACCTATGAATTATTGGCTTACAGACGTCGTTGAGGTACTACAGCCTCCCACACACGCACACACACATACACACCTTTATACACAAAATATATATATATGAAAGGGAAATCAAATGATTTATTTACAACGTAGCGAGTAACACAAAGTGAAGCCTTACTGCGGAATTAGCAAAATGCTTAGATTGGCTTCTGATTGCTTTTATTATTTATTTATTTATTTTTTGTGGTGATGAGCACAAATTTAGCCGTTCGAGTTAGAAAGCGGTAAACAATTACTATGAACTTTTTCTTACGCCCGGATACATTGGTGGACGACGGAGTGGCGTGTGCGCATGCGCATGCGTATGTGCGGCATGTGGCGGCAAACCAGCAGCTGCTGCCGCCGCCACCGCCGCCGCTGTTGCTGTCGGTGTTGTCACCGTAGCCGAAGCCGGCGCCGTTGTTGTCGTCGCAATGGAATTCTGCGTTGCTGTTGCTACTGCTGCCGCCGCTGCCGCTGCCGCTTGTTGTTGTTGCTGCAAATATGCCGCCGTACCCGCTGACGTGTGCGGCAGGTGCGGTTGTTGTTGTGCATGCGCGTGTGGATGTGTGCTGGTAAGGTGGTGGTTGTGGTGGTGGTGGTGGTGATGATGGCTAAGGTGGTTTAGGTGGTTCAAGTGGCTCAGGTGGTGGGCGTGGTGATGGGGTGGATGCGGATGCGGGTGCGAATGCAAGTGTGAGTGCGTTGGTCCGACTAGATGTGTTGCTGCCGCCGCCGCCGCCGCCGCTGCTGCAACTGCTGCTGCAGATGTCGACCCTGCGGACGATGAAGCTGACGAGACTGGCGGCCCCACAGCGGTGAAAGCAGCAGCTGAGGCGGCAAATGCCAGATTCTTCGCCGCCTGTGCGGATACGATTTGTGAGCTGGTCATACCGCTCATAGCCTGTAGTGCTTTTTCCTTTTCGCTTAGCAAATGTAGCGAATGGGCGTGCCCATTGATGCCAGCGATGCCGTTAGGTTCCTGAAAATAGTAAGTGTAGGTGGTAAGGTGGTGCTCTGCTGATGAGGTGCGTGGGTCAAATTTTCCTATAAATTGTGTGGCATTGGCCAAGGCTGTAAATGCTAGCTAATTGGGGAAGCTGGAATAAAATTTGCATTATTTATTGGCTTAGCGGAAATACGATGAGATAGTGGCGATGAGATGCATGGTGGATGGTGGAAATACTGATCATTGGTGATTATGATGACGCATGACTCTCCTCAAGCACATAATTTTATTAACAAATTTTATTTAAAACACTTCTGCAACTGGGATATGATTTAACCAGCGTTCCAGCGCTTACTTTAAATAAACTCANGGAAGCTGGAATAAAACTTGCATTATTTATTGGCTTAGCGGAAATACGATGAGATAGTGGCGATGAGATGCATGGTGGATGGTGGAAATACTGATCATTGGTGATTATGATGACGCATGACTCTCCTTAAGTACATAATTTTATTAACAAATTTTATTTAAAACACTTCTGCAACTGAGATATGATTTAAACAGCGTTTCAGCGCTTACTTTAAATTAATTCTTTATTTTCTTTGTAGTTTACAAAGTCGCTGTTGCACTCCTTGTGGCCTTGCCGCGCCACACTTTAGCTCAGTGTGCATGCCATTCCTGCCACAGAAGCAAGCAGCGGTTACCTGCACAGCTGGGCATCTCTTTGTGGTTTCTAGATGCTCACACAAGGCAAAAAAAAAAAAGGAAAAAAAAAACCACTATCATTCACGTATAAGCTTGCACACTTTTTCGTATCCTTGTCGGCAGTCTTAGTTGGTGGAGAAATTCTACTAAGCACTCAACTACAAAGTGACCCAGAAAACACCAAAGAATTTTCGTATGACACAAAATAAAACCATAACANAAAAACCACTATCATTCACGTATAAGCTTGCACACTTTTTCGTATCCTTGTCGGCAGCCTTAGTTGGTGGAGAAATTCTACTAAGCACTCAACTACAAAGTGACCCAGAAAACACCAAAGAATTTCGTATGACACAAAACAAAACCATAACACAAAAAAAAAAACTGAAAGAATGCGAAGAAACCTCATAAAGCGCACTTGCACACATTGTAAGGATAGTGAAGTAAAGACATAGAAACCGCACGCTACTCGAATGTGTTGTGTGTCCACTGTGTGTATGAATCCTTACGGGGGAATTAAATGGTAGCAAAGAAAAGGAATCCTATTAAAAGGGCAGCAGAAAGATACATACATACATACGTAACAGCAAACAATTTAGACAGAATCGCCAGAACTTGGTATACCTGCGGAAGTTACGGCTGCGTTTGAATAGGGAAGAAGGCGTATGCTGAATATATTCGAATAATTAAACCACAAAGCATCATCTTTCTTTTACTAAGGAGCAACTATGTATGTATTAAAACAGGCCTAACCGATTTTTTCAATGGACTGATCGGTATTTTTCAAAAATAAATGTTGCAAATTTTCCAGGATATTCAAGGATAAATTTTAAAAGGGACATTTTCAATACCTATTTGTCCTTATGCACCAACAAATTTAATCTTTTTTAATTCTACGGAATTTTCTCTTTTATTTGATACCCATATTTTTATTATATGTACGTACATTTTATTATGTTTGGACCCTAGTTTGCCTAAAAAGTTTCTATTCGGAAACTTCCATACCCATATACCCATTCCAGTTATACAAACAACGTCTGTCTGGTATTCCTTTACGATCCTAAATTTTAGTAATTGGCTTTTGATTTCGATAATTCATGCGCTGCCTCGTTCCCGTTTATGTCCATATGCCCTCGGCCCGTATTATGATAATTTCGTATCGAACGGAATTTGAGGCCAACTTTCTTCTAAAGACTTTAACTAGCAGCGACCGATTCAAAGAAGAAATAGTGCCTGAATTGCTGCTTGGCCATCAGAGAAAATGTTCACTAACGTCTTTGCGGGTACTCGTATTTTGAGCCCCTTACCGACAACAATCTAAAAATTGCTACCTCTTGGCTTTTGTTTCAGCGAAGCTTCCTGAAGCGCATTTGGTAAAAAAGTTGAGGGAAAAAACGAAGGCCATTGAATAAGTTTCGTGTTCCCTAAGCTCGAGGGATTCATATCTGTAGGCTACGCTCTCAGAATGCGCTAGCCTTAATGGGGTCGGGTAGCCGTACAAAAAGTTTTCCGAACTCTTCTCCGCCTTCAGAGCAGAAAGAACAGGCAAATGAAGTCCTCAAGTGTGCCGACTACAGCCAGGTTCTTAAATTGCGAAATGTTATCCTATGTTATCGATCTGCGATTCCTCGATGCTTCAAGGTCTTCATTGAGTGAAATTTTGAACCCATCTACTGATGATGACCGCTAGAGCTGTTGACTTGTTGTCTACTCTGTGGTTAACTCAACTTATCTTGATTCTTGTACCTTCGCAAGATTTCAACTTTATTAAGTTTATAATCTGGCTAAAGTGCTGTATGGAGCTCCAATGCACCTTTTGTACGTGAATCGCTCTTCATATTAAGTTGTGCGTATTAATAATTTTTCTTGCAAAAATTATGCTCTAATGAGTGCATGGTATACTTTTTCGACCGATTAATTCATGAAGAAATATTTCGCATGAAGTGCTATTAAAGAAAGTCTCCAGCAAAGTAAAGCCGTCTTTTTGAGCTTTTATGCGAATATGTTTGTAGCTGCTTACGCTCTGTCTCTCGCTCTCTTTCTTTCCACTTCAGTGCGACACAAAGCGTGCGGCCAGGCGATCCTTCGGTCACTTTAACCCACTTTTGAGATCCTTTTACATAATTTTTTAATTTTTTTTATACAAAGCCTTTGCGACTGGACCATTAAACACCGTTTTGCCAAAGGTAAGTACTAAAAAGACGATGCTAAAGAAGAAGAGAAGACGAAAAAGCCTTACAACACTTTACTTTGTGTTTTTGTGTATAGTATTTTGAGTGTAAAAGTAGATTTATTTTTTATTTTTTTTTTAAATAAGTATTTGTTTGTGTTTGTACTTGTTTACCAGTTTTGTGCTTTGTTTGTTTATAACTATATACATGTGTATGTATGTATGTATGTAGTGCAAAAACGGCATCATTATAATAAATGCAAAAGTTGTTGAAAAATTCCAACTTTGTGCCTTTTGCGCCATTTTGCCTCTGGGCTTTTGTTTCAACGAAGCCAAGCAGAAAAAAATACAAAAAAAAAAAACAAAATAAAACTCGACGCAACATTACATTAATTTTCGAAAAAGTAATTTTACTACTATTTTCTCTCCGGTTGCGTTGTGCTGTGCCTGTTTCTGACAGAGAGCCTCACTTTTCTATGCACTTTCTGTTCTGTTCGGGCCTTTTGTTGCCACTGTTGTGCAAATGTAGTTGCCGTTTACGCTTTGTTGTTTCTACTCTTTGTTTGTTTGACTATCCTTGTTTTTGTTTTTTGTTTTTGTTTTTTGATGCCTTTTGACCTTTTGACATAATGTGTGGGCCATAAAATGCCAAAGGAATAAAGCGGAAAATAAGAGAGAGCGGAGCGGAAAACGAAGTGCAAGGGGTGGAAGAAGAGGAGGGCGAAAAGAAAAGTTGCAGTGGACAATGCTGCAGGCGAAACTTGTGCTAGTCTGGTAAAATGGGCGTGGCTTAGAGGTGGGCAGAGCGGTGTGCATCGGGCAGCAGAGTGTTTACAGAAGATTAAGGGGAAGTAACAGCTGGCTCTAGTTGATTGGTATGTATTACTAGACCTGGCGCGCGGTGAAGGAAGATGCGGCGGCATGGCAAGGATGGTCTGAGGGGGTGCTGAGAAAACAAAACAAAATGACCGGCATTCAAAATGTATGTACACTTTTGAGTGTTTTGTAACAAAAAGTAATACTACAAATAGCAGCAGGACCTGCGCCAAAAGAAGTCAGTCAACACTAAAAACAACAACCACAACAAAAAACACACAAAGTAACAAAACAACTGTTGAAATCAAATAAACTTTCGAAACAAAGCTAAAGCAAAGGAAAAATAGAGGAAAACAAATTAAATGAAAAAGACTATAGTTTTTTTTCTGCTTTTTTTTTATTTGATTTAATATATTTTTGTTGCATTCTGCACTTTGTTTTACGGCTTTTCTGCCCGCTTTCGCTCGACACAAACGGTCAGTAAGCAAAGAAAAAGGATTTCAATGGAATTTTCACTTCACAAAGTGCGATGCAACACACTAACAACAACAACAATGACGACTACTGCAGCAGAAATATACACAAACAAAAAATAAAAATAAAAATAAAAAATTGCTGAAAGAAGAAAATTGAAATGGATGAAATGTAAAATAGAAATGAAAAAAAAAAATAAAAAAAAAATAGTTGAAACGACAAAGAACAAAACACAAAGTAAACTGCAGTGTGCGCACTGCTGGGCTGTTGGGAAGGCACTACCACCAGTGCGCCAGTTGAGACGCGCTCAACGTCGACTTAAGATGCGGTGCAGTCACGTGTGGCAGAGATGTTTGTATGCATGTATGTAACTACAATGCAGCAGTTACATACATACATACATTTATTGCACACAAACGGAAAGCTCAAACAAAAACTTTACAATCGCTCAAATCGCACAGAAGGCACAAAAAGTGTATGTAATTTTTATAAAGTTTTACCTTTTACTTTTCTCCAACATAAAACAACTTTTCAAGTGAAATGGACAAATGGTTTCATGTGAATATGTATGAGAAAATGCACATACATACACATGAGCCACTCCATGTTAAATCGACTAATGGTTGAAATCGTCCACATTTGATTTGGATAAATTTTGGTTAGAGCTTTTCTTATACATATGATATAACGAAGTTAAATTTTCCAAGAGTTCAAAGTTTCAGAATTTCTCGTATTTAATTTTTTAAAATCTAAACACAACTATGGTTACAAAAATGGTTCTGGTAATGTTTTAAAGTTGATACTTGTGGCTATATGGGAAAAAATATTTAAAAAAAATACAGAATTTTGAAATTTAAAAATCGTATAAGTAAACATTTATATAAATTTTTTTCAGGGACCCAGAAAAAAAGATATGATCCAAACTAAATAATAAAATCCTCAGGGAATTTATATTCATGATAGGAGGAAAGGGAAAAGAGAGAAAACTCCCAGGGAGTCTCGGTTCAGAATCGGCCAGAATAAACCGAACTTAAATAAATAAACTAATAGACAACTGAAGACCACCAAGTTCGATAAAAGAGTTCAAAATTCACGACTACTTATATAAAAATGATAAAAAACTGATTAACTGAGTTAACCTATGCAGTACTGTGTTCATCAGAAATGGAAGAAGCTGAAAGAAAGAGTGATTTCTTATTGATTTATAGCCCCTTTCCACCAAAAACTTAAATGTAGTTAAGAACTCAAGTACCCAGAATTTTAGCGTTTTTACCTTCTGTTTGCTTGTACTTAATGTGAGCAGTTACGCCCTTCGAGTGGTAATCTTATTTTTCCAGTAGGCATAAACTGCAGCTACAGCTTGGTGGAAATAAACTTCGCGTTTTTTAAATGTGACATTTGTATAACTAAAGACGGATTTCCACTGGGCATTAAATGCTAAAAATTTGTTGACAAAGTCGGGTATTAAAAATGTTTTTATTTTAGAATAAATAGTAGTGATTAAATCTGTTTCCAATGTAATTTTTTACATACATTAATGGAGCAAATTGCGTATTATTTTAATGCCTAAAAGAAATTCGATATTAGCGCTTGTTCTTTCGTAAAAAATGTCGTCACCACGTACAGTTGAATTAAATTGCGCCTATAGTCTATAAAAGCTTTTAACTTTTTCTCAAGGACATCAGATAAACCTTGCTTTTCATATTCGAATCATCAAATATAAATAATTATCTACATACATATAGGTATGTACATACATTTTTCTATTGAGGGAAACAAATAAAAGTAAAATGGATTTTGATGATTAAAGCAGCGGCCAAAAAGTACAAAAATAATTGAAATTAAAAATCATTCTTAAGCTCTATTCTTTGCTCTAAAGCTTAATTGGTTACAATTACTTAACTGCACACAACTCGAAATTTATTCAATATGGCAGAAATCTGTGTGATAACTTACAACTTTAATTTTCGCCTGAATCTCACGCAATTTCCGTCTGGCAAGAACCTGTATGTGCGAACTGACTTGCTTTCGTGTTCTCGTCTTGCCTGTGCGTAATTTGATATAACGAGCGATGAGTTCATTGCGGCCTAGAAATAAAAAAGAGGAAAGAAAAATTTTAAAAATTTGTAATGAGTTATTTTCGTGAAATACTCATATTTAAATCATAGGAAATTTGCTATGAAATTGAGATAAAATCAGTATTTTACTTATTAGAAGAAATTAATCTTGATCCCCCCTAAATGTAGGTGGTGTGTTCTTTTTGGTAGACACTAAAGATTTGAGTGTGTTTACGATAGATATTGCCGTCAGACGGATATGTACATACATACATATGTATGTGTGTATGAAAAATACGTTTGTAAGATAAGTACATATTTGCATAAAAAACTATGAGTTGTGATTTTAAAAATACTAGTTATTTATTTCGTTAGCATATATTACAACAAATTTAGCGGCCGTATTTTTATTATTAGCTTTTATTAAGTTTCACCTGTGCGTAATCAAATCTTACAATCAATTTTTAACTAACTTCGTGATGAGCTAGAGGCTGGAAACTCCTCCTCCTGATCCTCTAGGTGGCGCAGGTGTATACATATATAATTGAAAAACCCGGTTTTACGGTCCGACATGGTTCATATTTGGAATGAATATTACTTACATGAAAAGAAATACCTGTACAAAAACTTTGCTCTATAGGTGGCGCAGTCTTGAATACCCCGAAATAGTCCCTAGAATCTTAGAAATCTCGAAGCAGCTTCGAAAATCTGGAAATAGCCCCGAGAACCCCAAAATTATAGAAACTTCCAAGTAGTCCCGAAAATCCCGAAATAGTCTCTCGAAGACCGAAAATTCTGAAATAGTTCCGAAAATCGCGTAAACTGCGAAGAAGTCTCGGAAATGTCGAAATAGGCCTGAAAGCCCTCAGAATCCGAAGTAGTCTCGAAAATCCTGAAATAGTTCCAAAAATGCGCAAGTAGCCCTCAAAATACCGAATAGTTCATCTAACACAGAGATGGGCAAAGTGGCTCCCAGGAGCCTTTTGCACTTATTAGCTGGCTTGGCACATTTAGGAGGTAGATGAGGGCTAACATCAAGAGCCAGCATGAAGGGGGAAGAAGAGCGTATTCAAATTTCTTGTACTCCGATTGCCATTACTAGTATATATGATGCTTTTAATGTATTTTGTACACCCTTTTACCCTGAGAACTAATTTAGCTCTTGCGTAGCGCTTGCTGGCTCTTTGACGGCTTTAAGAGCCAAAAATCTGCCCAACACTGATCTAACAGGGTTTAGTGACCCATACGACCTCTCTGGTGGGAGTTAGGGTTACGCCGCAATGGACACTTTTGTAGAGCATTCAATTCTAACAAAAGCTCATCATTGACCAAGATTATACCATAAGATGCCTCAGAGCTGTAGACTTTTGAGGAAATAAAATTATAGTTTAAAAACTAAAACCTCGCTATTATAATTTCCATTCGTACTGTCATCAGGTATGTATGTAACTTGAGAATAGAAATCGCTGCATCTTTTAGGCGCATCAATATTACATAGTTACATCCCGAGCTAATAAAAGGGAGGTAAAAAACTCAAAGTTTACGTGTATTTTGAACGGGAAATCTTTGCACGCTTTGGTCGAGTACTTAATATTAATATTAAGGGCTAAAATTTTCAGGGAATTTTTTTTTTTAGCTATTTACCACAAAATTTCGAGGTGGGGGTGCAAAAAAAAATCGCCGAAAAAAAGCACCCTAGTATACAAGTGTACATATGTGCATGTGATACAAAATTTTTAACATTATATTCAATAAAAAATCTCGCTCGCTTCCTTCGCGCAATTCCATAATGAAATTGAAACCCGAAACCGATTTTCACTTCCCTTTTGTCGCCACGCTTTACGCTTTCCCTTCATTTAACCAAACACTAGCAGCAAATATAAATTTAATCAAAATTAATTTGTAGCTACAAAACCAGATAATAGATAGTGAGCGCTCGAGGGCGGGTGCACGTAAATATTCATAGCTTCGCAATATTAAACAATTCACTAACGGCCAGCAGCAAACTAACTACTATCTAAGTAGGATCCATGCAACATAGGCCACTGGCAACAACAAGGCGCGCGCGCTCATATAATAATAAATAAAATAATGAAAGACAGACAGACAGACAGACAGACGGACAGAAACAGAGGCGGCAAAGACAATAACGTGCGGCTACCGCTATGCTTTTCCTCCGACCTGTAGTTGCCCATTCCCTGCCCACCTCTTTCACGCTACTTGCCGTTTTGTTTTGTTTCCTGCCACTTTGACTCCTTTTGTCTTTTATCATTTGCCCTCGTCCTTGCCTTTGCCCCCTTCCACACATTGCTGCTTATGCTGACATTGTAGATACGCGCTTGCAATCCTATTGTTTTCACTTAAATTTTCTATGCCTTCACAAAAGTTCTCGGTAACTTTGTAGTCGCTTCCAGCTCCATCTATATTGCCTGCTGCGCAGTGCTACACTTTACTGTGGATGCTGCCTTGCCCGACATACAATTTTCTGTACATAGTTGACTTGAATTGACTCGAGTCGTTTTAACGCCAACACAAGCAACGTCCTTTATGCATGCCGCCCAGCTTCAGCACTCCTTTTGCGCCATCTTTATTGTCTACGTTGGCCGTGACGTTGGCGTCGTCGTCCTCGTCGTTCACTAATTGCACATTCTTGGCATAGTTTCACTTCTAACCGAATAAAATTATTTTCATTCACTCAAATTGTACTCAAGGAAAGCGTCTACCCGCCCGCCGCCCTTTTTGATCCCCAATATCGGTGCTCGCTTCTACTACTATGCAAGCGCTTTGCTTCACAAACTTCGACATCGACTTTCCATCCATTGTTTTCCATCTTTCCTCAGCCCTGCATTTAGCCAACGTCGTTGGCCTTCACCAATATTTGGTGTTTTGTTTGTTTGTGTCTTCGCGCGCTTTGTACTACATACTAGTTGCTCCATACTCACTCCCCTGGCGTGCCAACGACCTATGTAGATGTGGCTAAACCAAATTTGAAATCGTACAAGCTAGCGGAGCACGGTGGCGTGAGGGTAGAAAAAGCAAAGCTCGGACTTTCTAAGTGATTGTTTTTTGCATCTTCTATGCACATATATCCTCCGGTTATGACGCCTTTTCTTTTGCTGGCAAGGGGGTTGGTGGCCTGCAGCGTTGGACTACTCATCGACCTTTACACACCGCCCCATTCAATTCACTTTTCTTCGGTAAAAAGCAAAAAGTTGCTTTTGCTTCCTTTTCAGTTGCAACCTTTTAGGATTTTCAGTTCGTTGGACAAAAGTGAGACACAATGACTTTGCTCTAAAGCAGCAGTATTTCTCAATTTTTTATTTTATTTTTTTTGAAAAAAAGAACTACTCGTGAAGAGTGGAATAAGTTGCCGCGCAGCTTAACATACATATATGTATGTATGTATATAGTTTTATCTAGTTGGCAAATCCTAGCTTCGTACAATTTTCAAAAGTTATTATCAGTTGTAGTAGCTTTCGAGGATTTAAATGGTATACATACAGATAAATTGAGTTTAATAAATCTTCATTCTTCATTCTTTGGTGTATTACTTTCCGTAGTTTTTCAGAGAGTTGAATTCCATTATCATATCATATCAGTATTATCATATCCACGAAACCCTTCCTTTATGCAACAAATGTGCATTTTTTACTGCTATTGAGTATCTTCGATAGGTTCCATGGGCCGAACTCCCTGCATTATCTATAAAATGATTTTATTTCTCACCAAAAAAATATTCTCGACTTTACCATCTCAAAAGGTTGCATGGAGATAAATAATAAAAAATAATATTAAATTCTAGAACAGATATGAGGTTTAGCGGAGTAGTCTTTCGCAGCTCCTTACTCATAAAACAGACAATTGCGATATCTAGGGTTACTTTACCTGAAACTACGAAATAAAACATCATGGAACGACAATTGTTGATATTGAATATCTGTGTTCTCACACAACCCTATATATTATTACTGTTATGTAAAAGACAATAATAATTCTCATGAGAATAGGAATTCCCGATCACGGAAATTGATATTTACTCTCATCGTAGAGTAAATATTCATTCTCATCCCTAATTAGACGGTGAGAATGAGAGGGAATTCCTATTCTCATCGTTTATCAGAACCTTTACAGAAAAATTCTACGCAATTATAACTATCAAATGTGTTGGGCTCAGTTCTATTTAAATGCAGCCATAGTGTGCCTAAGGACCGGAGGAGGCTATTCAATAGTGATTAGGATGAAATATTATCGAACAGAGTATATTTTTTCACCAAGCTGGTTCATCACGTCTCCTATAATTTCCGCCCTCATCCCTGCCTACAATATGAGGTTGCCACATTTTTCCAAGTACGAAGACACTTAAAATCTTCCCGAGCTTAACTTGATGTTGTCACACAAGTGGAGAGACTAAGATTTTTGGCTGTGTTCAGACCAGAAATGGTTTTCTAAGAAGCACTTTCCGTGACAATTAATACACGTAGACTTGGGTTTTCCTGCTCTTTCTATCCATGTCATGTGAATTCCACATATCTCAGCCTTATGGACAATTCGAGGTCTTTACCGAAAACGACCCTGTGGTAGAAACATTTTACTGGCGTTGCACTCAACCCATCATCGAGGAGGATAAATGGAGCTTCGAGCCGGCTAGGACAATACATTATGATGATAGAACAGTAGCAGATATAAGTATCTAGAGAGAACTGCCCTGACTACAACCCCCAGTGGCATCGTTCCCATATAAGCTGCGGCTAAAAGTAAATTTCGTGCGGCCTGTCTCTCGAGATCAAATAACTTAATTACAACAGTGGGGGGTCGAGAAAAAATACTGAAGATGAGGAAGTAAGGTCGGCTATGGAAAATAATGAGAAATTTATTGCGCTTAAAGAAGAATATGTCGAAAGGAATATACTAATCACATACGAGGAGACCTCGCCTAGTTGATTTGAAATAAATAATAGCTATTGACAGCTCCAGAACGCAACGGCTAATGGCTGCATAAGAGTTGAAAAATTAAGTATTTCCACATAAGT